AAACATAATTCCGTTTATATTTTAATAATTGCTGCTCTAGTCTCAGTTGAGCTGTTGACATTTTACTGATATAACAATTATATTGAAATATTTTACCAAATTTATTAACTTAAATTTAATTCTTGATACAATACTAACCTTTAAATCCGTAGGAATAACGCATTTATCATTAAATACTTCAAAACTAAATGAATACACGCAAATTAAACTACACATCTGATAAGATTTATTTTTTATTTAGAGAAACTGAAAAAATAGTTTGGAAAAAATACATGATTTTCTTGCTAAATTCGAAATGACATGAGTGTCCTTCTTACAGACAGACATCAAGCGCAACTATTGTTAGGTTATGTATTCATAATAGAAATTTATCAAATGATATTTTGTCAAACAATAAGAACAAAGAAACAAAAATTATACAGATTGTTGCATACTTTAATGAATGTCATTGATGGCTGCAATCGATAAAGTTAAGATTATTGTTGTCGGAGATTCTGGTAAGAATATATGAGAGATATATAAAAATATACGTATGTAAAAATTTTATAATCCGTGTATAATATATCGTTTGTATATTAGTTACAACATAAGCAAGAACCAAGAAGATTTGTTGCTTAAACGTCTTTAATTTATTAACTTATTAGTATCAAATATTCTATTCCATTTGTGCCATCTAATTTTATTCAAAGATCACTTAATTATTACTTCGCACAATTATTTAAAATTCAGCAAAAGTTAAATATTTTTCTCATTCATACTTCTAGGTGTTGGAAAAACATCATTGACACATTTAATATGTCATCAACAACCCATCAGCAGTCCTTCTTGGACTATAGGTTGCTCAATAGAAGTTAAATTACATGAATATAAGGAAGGTACTCCTAATCAGAGAAGATATTTTATTGAATTATGGGATATTGGTGGGAGCCAAAGTCATAAAAATACAAGATCTGTTTTTTATAATCCAACAAATGGTACAAGTATAAAATATAAGTACCTGTTTACAGTGTGATTTAAAAGTTAACATTTACTAATTGACATTCATGATACAGGTATTATATTAGTTCATGATTTAACAAACAGAAAGTCTCAACAAAATCTGCAAAAATGGTTGGAAGAAGTTTTGAGCAAAGATAACAGTCATACAAAATTAAAGCCATTTGATGATTTTGATCCAGAAAGATTTGTGGGATCCACCCAGGTAGTGAAAATTGTCAGCTGATAGAATGTTCTCTTTGTAAATAATATATATCCTTTGTTAGATACCAATATTAGTTATTGGCACAAAATTAGATTTAGTGGCAGAGGTAAGATCAAGTGTCCATAGACGTTCTTCAACTATTGCAGAAGAATGCGGTGCTGATGAAATATTTTTGGTATGAAAAACATTCTTTTAATTCCAAGTAATAATTTTGTAATAAAATTACTTTTTGTAGGACTGTCATCAAGTGAGATCATTAGCTGCTGGTTCTAGCTCCTCTGTCAAACTTAGTAGATTTTTTGATAAAGTTATAGAGAGACGCTATTACTCATCAAAGGAAGGAATCAGCCCTGATAAACGGAGACTACCAATGTATAGTTCTAAACTTTATCACAACGATTGAACGTGAATGCAAATTCTGTTGCTAAATTTTGTTCAATTCATGTGACATTTCTGATTTGTATGAAATATACTTATATATTTATAAAAAATGTGATGAATAATTTAACCATTGTACTGCGGAGCTGTGTTAACATTTCAGATGGAATGGAATCATAATAGATAATGATAAGTACTTCGCGACGCATGAGAAAGTCGACAATTTTTGACGTCCTGTACAATTTAAAAAATTTCAAATGATACAGTAGTGCCATCCAGAGGACAGGCTCCGAAGTTAATCAGGGATTTTGAAAACAAGAAAGTTGAGTTTTATTTATGTACTCTTAGCCTGGATTTTTGAGTCATTGAGCAATCAAAAATGTTAAAAAATTAGTCGACGAACAATTTGGTCGACGTTGCGTTCAAATATTCTTCTTAATAACATAGATTTCGGCACTTTTTAAAGAACGGCCATTTGCACAGTGGCGATACGAATGGTGCAAATTAAATTTTACTTGCATTAACTTACTTTTCAATGATATTAAAACTGGATGAAATTTCACGATTATAATGTTAGATTAAAATAGAGAAGAGATCTGTTAGAGTCTGTTAAATTCAGCATTAATAAAATACCAATATTAATCACTGCCATGCTTTCACGTGCGCACCTAGTACCTTTCCAAATTTCCTGGTGTGTGTTTATGTTTACATGTTCTATTCTAAGATAGAAGATACGCGTGACAATGTGACACATCTTTATACGTAATACAAAGGTTAACATGTATCACCTGATTATCTGGCAATCGAAAATTTGATTGAATATGTAAATATCTACAATCGTAAATAATTTTTCCACGTTTTGTCAGTTTCAATTAATTTGATAAATTAAATGTGCTTTGATCGAATTTTTCTCCGTAAGTTTTTCTTCTTCGACGATTGATTAAAGTTCACGCATAATTTAATCAATGGATAATGACCTTTCCTTTAGGACATCTAATGCTATTATAATGACTTGCTTACTGCCAAAGAAATTCCTTAATCAGAACTATTTTACGAATTTGTTGTCACGATGTCAACCTTCCGATTTTATTCAGTATCATGGATATGCCACTGCTGTTTCCATGATTAGCAAAGGGCCATTGTTTATTTTAAAAAATAAAATATCCAGAGGAGAGTTAATAAAAGATGATCATCAGTTGGAAGTTGCTCAAGTATTGCAGGGCATCTATCAAGAAATAGATGGGTACAGACCAGTAGAGTATAACTTATTAGAGAAATGGCTTGGTAAAAAGAAAAAGGAACCACCAAAAGGGTTATACCTTTATGGAGCAGTTGGTGGAGGTAAAACAATGCTGATGGACCTTTTTTATCAATGCTGTCAGGTACCATAGTTTATAAGTTCAAGTAAGTATTGCACATGGGAAGCCATAATATAATATTACTGATTATCATTATGACAATTCATAATATTTTTCAGCATCACACATGTGTAAAAAAATTAGAAAGTTGCTGCAATAAAGGATTTGATATGTGATATAAAGAAAATGTTTGAAGTATAATAAATGGCTTTCCATATGCAGTCTATTAATTAAAGAGGAAATAATAGTAATCATATTGAAATGTAATTATAGATTGAGAGCAAAAAGCGTGTTCATTTTCATGCTTTTATGATGGATGTGCATAGGAGAGTGCACGAAGTAAAAAAAACGATGGTAAGAGATACGAGCAGTACAAAGCTCCAACCATTTGATCCAATACCACCAGTTGCTAGAAGTATTACTGAAGATGCATGGCTGCTCTGTTTTGATGAATTCCAGGTTTAATAAATTGAAGCATACAACAAGTTATTGACGATGTAATGTAACATGTATTAACGAAAGCTCATGCATCACAGGTAACTGATATTGCAGACGCTATGATATTGAAACGATTATTCACCGAACTGTTTAATAATGGAGTGATAGTAATAGCAACCAGTAATAGAGCACCAGATGATTTATACAAAAATGGATTGCAGAGAGTAAATTTTGTTCCATTTATACAGGTCTTAAAAAATTATTGTATTGTAGATTCCTTAGAATCAGGAGTTGATTACAGATTGAGTACAGGAAGCACGGACAAAAAGCTTTATTTCATGTGTGTAACATTTTTCTTAATCAAGATTCATTCACAAATATTTTTATCTAATAATTATGAATGATTGCAGAAAAGGTGAAGATGCAGTAAATAGTGTAGATACAATATTTAAATTTCTATGTTCAAAAGAGAATGATGTTGTGAGACCGCGAACTATTTCCATAAGGGGCCGTAACGTTACTTTTGAAAGAACTTGTGGTCAGGTATTGGATTCAACTTTTGAAGAATTGTGTGATAGAGTAAGCTACTTTCATTGAATATTTTCTACGACCAATTAAATTGTTTTAAAGAACAAATGATAATTTTGATTTATAGCCACTTGGTGCTAGTGATTATTTGGAATTGAGTCAAGCATTTCATACAGTCATTATAAGAGATCTACCTCAATTAAATTTCCGTCTTAAATCTCAAACTAGGAGATTCATCACATTGATTGACACATTATATGATAATAAAGTAAGATTAAACATTTAAACATCCGACCTGATGTAGATATTTATTACACGAATAAATCAAATTCCTTAGGTACGTGTTGTAATATCTGCAGCTGTACCTCATACAAAACTTTTTGAGCCAAAGATAGAAAGTGAATATACAGATGAGAAACGAATGCTAATGGATGACCTAAAGATATCACATGGATCGGTAAGTTTCACAAGAAGGCTAATTTTTTTCAGTGACATTAAATAATAATAATAGTTTTTGTATTATTTACAGGATGATTTTAAATCAAATATTTTTACGGGTGAAGAAGAAATTTTTGCTTTCGATCGCACCGTATCGCGACTTTCGGAAATGCAAACAACACAGTACTGGGATCAATGGCAAAATTATAGATAATGATAAACTAAAGAAATTTTAATAGCTGCAATTAATATGAACAATTTTTCTAATGTAATTGACTAAATTAAAAGTTCTAGCTAATGCGTATAAAGTACAATAAATATTGTCAAGTTCGATGCATTAAATTTACGCAATATATCTGTATTAAAAGCTTCTTAGATATTTAAAATATTTATTTCTACTGCAATATTTATTTAGTTTTTATCGAGTGATAAATGTACTAATAATAATAAAGAACCAAAAGAGAAATGTCCCACTGTATTTTCTTTTCTTCGGAAGAATGAAAACTTACAAACACTCTTTCCGTTTCCTTGACACTTCCAATCTTAGAAAAAATAAGATTCTATCATCTTCAACTGCTAGAAAAACAGTCTAATTACAATGACATTCAAACGTAAAGGACGATAACATGCACTGAGGCTAAATTAATATAACTCCAGACTGTTTGAAGCTTGAACGCGATTGGTCAAAAGAAAAGAATGATCGGATGATGGATAATTTTAAATTTAGATTTTATTCTTTTAGTTTTTCATAATCTGCTATGCTATGTGTAATCTTTAGTTCGGAATAATGTTTATTTATCAAGACATGCCACGAGAATATGCTTAGTGTGACAGTCACTCAATGAGCCTTGGTTTCATTTTATGTTCATTCTTAATACTTCGAAATTAAAATGCATTTAAATTAACTTTAAGCGAAAGATTAAATGAGGAAAGGTAAAAGTTCACATCCGAAACATAATACCTAATTTACAAGAAAGGGATCTGTGTTTTAATTTTCGCGGCAAATAAGTTTAATCAGTACGGAGTATATCACATAAAGCAGGGAAAGTTTTCTTAAGATAAAATTATCAGGTGATTGATGTAAACGAATGCATAATAAGTTTACTCCAAAGTTTTTTTTTACTTTATCAACAATCACAAATCGTAGGCACTATGGTGTTATCAATTCCTAAGAAGTATTTTTAGATATCGTGCGCTCATTTAAAGTGATCACATTTGTCTTGCACGTTCATTCACACGAGAATATTCAAGTGAGATATTTTGAAGCAAGCACAACGATAATGGACATTCAAAAATTGGCTCACGGTAGATTTAAATTTAAATGTTTTTGAATTTATCATACGTATTCACGAATTTAATACATTTTCGTTTTAGCTACAGTAAAATTCGATCAGTCCGTGATTGATGAAAAAATTAATTCGATCCGATCTGGAGTTAGCAATTTACAAAATCATATTAAAAAAGTTTGGCTGACGAGAGCAATAGGTTTCATAGATTTAACTACTTTGGGTGGTGATGATACACCTACAAGAGTACAGACTTTATGTGCCAAAGTAATATTCTTAATCGCTTTTTCTAATATAATAGAAAATAAATTTGTTTTTATACATTCTGTAATTACAGGCTGTAAGCCCTCTTAAATCGTTAAACACTGCACATGTGCACACAGCAGCTGTGTACGTATATCCAACGAGATTTTTAGATGCAAAATCTGCATTGGACAAACTTGATAAAGAACATCAAATTTCCAGAGCTACAGGTAAATTTCCTTTAAATTTACTTATATTAAACTATATTAAAACCTCTGATCATTACTTAAACAGTGGGTGGAGGATTTCCATCTGGACAAATGCCATTAGAGACACGTGTAAGAGAAGTAGAGATCGATGTTGAGATGGGAGCTGATGAGATTGATATTGTTATAAACAGACCACTAGTTTTGATGCAACAATGGAAGGAATTATACGAAGAACTTAAAGCCTTTCGCACTGCTGCTGGCAACAATTGCTTGTTGAAAGTCATACTTGCTACAGGTGAATTAGACAATTTGGAAAATGTATATAAAGCAGCCATGGTAGCAATGTTAGCTGGTGCAGATTTTATTAAAACATCAACTGGGAAAGAATCAGTAAATGCTACTTTGCCTGTTGGAATTGTTATGTGCCAGGCAATTAAAGATTATTACAAATCCACACAAAGAAAGGTATACATCTTTTACTCAAATGAAACATCATTATTCAAAAGATTTGAACACTTATTATAAACATATACATATTTTATTCAGGTTGGTTTGAAGCCTGCTGGAGGTATTAAGGAACCCCAGGATGCTTTGGAATGGATGATGCTGGCTAAGATAGAATTAGGAGAAGAATGGTTGAATAAAGATTTGTTTAGAATTGGTGCATCAAATTTGCTAGACAATATTGTCCAAATAGTAGAAACAAATTGATGTTATTAACTTTAACCAAATGCTGTTTATAAAAAGTCTATAATTTTTTACAAATAAACTTATTGGAATTTTATATTATCTGTATATTCACAATAAAGAGTTTACACTTTGAATTATGAAACGCTCCCTATATTTTCTTCTCAATCAATGATTCTTAAAATTGATAATACATCGAAATATGTAAAAAAGTAAAAAGAAAAACAAATAATTTTCTATAGTTTACATACCTATCCAAATACAATTGTGTAACAGCTACCACAAGTACAGTTTGTTACAAATTAATTGAATTATAACTCACAATATAATTCAAACTAAGTTTAGAAATTTTTTGTTTATTTTGGAATAATACAATTCCTTTACCTGCAACGTATCATCGTATCCGACGATTTTCAAATATATATCCGCCATTTTGACTATGGTGGCGTTGATGTTTCTGATGCTGATGTCTACAGAAACAGCGCGTGGACGTGTCTTTTCCGCTTAGAAAACCAAGATGGTAAGTTCGCTTATTGATTGTTAGTATTAAATCGTTTCGCATCAGCTGCGCAGTGTACAGTATTAGTATAATATTTAAACGAAGTGAAAACTACAGGATTGAAAATTAATATCTATCTATATATTATTTAGTAAATTTATTGTATTCTTGTGGAACAAGAAATACGGTTATGTTGTACACAAATGTTACTTTGTCGAACTGATTAGACATTAACTGGACCGATAGTTTACATGAATGTTTGTTAAGATAACTTGGATAAGGAATTAAGTTTTCAATGTGATAATCTGTAATTAAAAGTTTTAGTGAGAGATAAATTTAAATGGTACTCTATCTGTAAAATTTTGTGTAGTACGACAGTATAGAAATAGTGGACGATAGTAAATCAGGTATGCATTTTTATCGGATATTTTTTTAGGCTCGTGGACCGAAAAAGCATTTGAAGCGTCTTAATGCACCGAAAGCATGGATGCTGGACAAACTTGGGGGTGTTTATGCTCCGCGACCATCCACAGGTCCACATAAATTGAGAGAGTCTCTTCCTCTCGTAATTTTTCTCCGAAACCGATTGAAATATGCATTAACCAATTCAGAAGTAACAAAAATTGTAATGCAGAGATTGATTAAAGTTGATGGGAAAGTGAGAACTGATCCCAATTATCCTGCCGGTTACATGGGTAAGATCAATTATTTTCGATTTTATCCTAATATTTAAGTATGTCTAAGGCCATATCGAAGCTGTAACGTTTCACAAATGAAATTTTATAGTCAAAAATTGGCCAAAAGAAAAAGAAGGTCTTTACTTTGGTCACAGATTGAGTAAAATATTCCTTCTGTATTACCCAGAAAGTGCACATTTTATAAAATGAATAAAACTTACTTGTGTTTATTAATATTACTTAATTCTTTGTAGATGTCATTACAATCAACAAGACCGGTGAATACTTCCGACTTATCTATGATGTTAAAGGACGTTTTACCACTCACCGAATTTCAGCAGAAGAAGCTAAGGTACTTTGTATTAACATTTCTATCAAAAATTCTGCTAATAGAATACTTTATTCGATTAAACAATTCTTATTCTTTGACAGTACAAACTGTGCAAGGTAAAACGCGTTCAAACTGGACCGAAGGGAATCCCATTTTTGGTAACACACGACGGAAGGACAATTCGTTACCCAGATCCCCTCATCAAGGTTAATGACACTATCCATCTGGATATTGCGTCAGGCAAAATCTTAGATTCCATACGGTTTGATTCAGGTATAACATAATATTTCTGCATGTATTTGTGACTGCGAGCACAATCAAAATTTATTAATTAATTGTTATTTCCTTAGGTAATCTTTGCATGATCACTGGTGGGAGGAATTTAGGGCGCGTCGGCACGGTCGTCAGCCGCGAACGTCATCCCGGGTCATTTGATATTTGCCATATTAAAGACTCACAGGGACACACCTTTGCTACGAGGTATTTCATTACATTTTATTTAAATTATTGTTACACATTTGCCTTTGATTTAACATAAGATTGAATTCGTTTTTACCGGGACCATAATCGAAGCTGTAATGTCACTGAGACAATTGCAGTCAAAAGTTGGTCAAAATGAAGTTCCTCTATATTGGTCACTGATTGTTTTTACATAGGGCTTTCAGTATTACCCATTTAGAAACAGCAGTTTTTCTTTTTGCATTCATTCATCTATCGCTTTCGTTGACTGATCGCGCCTAGTTATCATAAATCGTTCGTTTAGGTTGAACAACGTATTCATCATCGGCAAGGGTACTAAATCGTACATTAGCTTGCCCAGAGACAAGGGTGTTAAGCTATCGATTGCCGAAGAGCGCGACAGGAGATTAGCAGCGAAGGGAGTTAATTAATGTAAATTTGCAAGAAAAATATTTAATAAACCGAGAAGTTCTTGGCGAATAAAAATATTCTCCCGTCTTTATCCAATATACGTATAATTACCTTAGTGTAGCACTTCACATTTAGAACACAATATATCTTTTCATTAACGCTTCTATCACAATTATCCTTAACAACGATTTTTAAATCTAGCACTATAAAAAATATTAAAAAACATTTTGGCTGTTAGACATGTATCTTAGATATAAGATTAGAAAATTATTTAATTGGTCAAAGCGTATTGTGCTAATTCGCTTGGGACGGCGAAAAAGTGTAGAGACGAAACGCGAATGAATATCTACTACGATAAATCACTTCGATGGCAGCCAAATTTCGGTATTCAGTTCCAAAATTTTACGCAGCATAGCGTTACATTGTTCGTCGCTGTATTTTTCATTTTTTTTATGTACTTCTTTGGCAGCTTTCAAATATCTGTAGAAAATGTCAATTACATATAAAATTATAATTCATATTTTATTACACGATACTGTTAATTGGACGAATTGTTACTTCTGTATAGAAAGAACCGTGTTCCTGGCTTCCTTTTCTGCCATTCTTGGAGCTTCCGATAACGACGACACGTAGTCGACGCGACTCTCTTTCGTTCGAGTCAGTGGATAAATGCGGACCCATCCTCCTTCCTTCGCGCAAGGCGTGCTCCAATCTTTACCATTGTCCCATACCGATGTCTTGTCGTGTTCCGGGTTAGTGCCCCGAAAACCGCGAGGAATGTATTTATCCACTAACAGTGGATTGTATCGGGACCAATTCGAGGAGTCACCGTTATTCGATTGTCTGAGCTGATGATCGATATAGGTACAAGGTTTAACGTTTGCGTTCTTCTTTATAGAAATTATGATTTGCTACTAACGCTTTATTGTGAATACGTACGGTAGGTCGAAGCTCCGTGCATATATTTAAAAAGCCATCGGTCTCCCGACAAGATCTCGATTTCTTTTTTGTGGCTTTGCCCGTACAAAATTTGGAAGACGCTTCGACTTTGTCGTTAACAGAACTCGTCGACCATATCGTAAAAAGGGAGAGACCGGTGTTACATACTGGAAGACCTAGTAAATCGAACAGGTCGTGCAACAATGGTTTCTTCACTTCGGAGTCGATCTCGCAGTCGTTGTTCAAGGCCGGGCTCAGGTTTACCTACGTGAACGCCGATTTCTTCGTGTTAACTGTGCTCTACGGATGACCAAGTAAGTGAAGCATGCATCTTTTCACCTCTAGTAGCCACGGTTTTAGATTTTTGTCGATCAGTACGTCGAATCCGAAGAATTCGAAACAATTGGATGATTTCGGTATGTTCGCGGCTTGGCTGAGTATCGTTAAGCTCACTAAGCAGGCAATCCTCTGCCAGAGGAACCAATCGTAGTATCCAGTCTGTTCTAAATACCTCCTCAATTGTCTGAAAGTCCATTTGCAACCTGCGGAGGTCCGGTTCACGTTATCCAGATGCATAACTTAAACGTTATTTAAAATACTTGATCTTTTATACCAGAACCGACGCGTTCCTTTTTCTCTGAATATCCCGGGCCCAATTTGTTCAGCGCGAAATTAGTGAGATGTCGGAAAGGATCGTTCAAATGTTCTAATGAAAATTTCTCGGTGGCGAAACGAGCCAAGCCTTCCTTGTACAGGTATATCGTCAAAGGACGATACGAGGGTACGCAGACGTACAGGCGTAGATCAAACTTGTAACTCCCAATCAGAAGGGGATTTTCTATGTATCTTTGCACGACTGCTGCACTGTCATACGTGAGGTCGCTTAATTTCTACAAAACGTGAAATCGCAATTCATATATGCACTAGCATTTACATTTAAAATATTTTTCCTCTTACGCGAAACAGAAAAATGCCTTTTCCTTGACTCTGTCCGACTGGCTTACAGATCCAGATTCTGTCGTGTTCAGAACGACTCATTTCCTCCGCCAATTTCGGGTACTCCGATGGCAAGTTGTATCCTACAGGACTATTCCGATGTATTTTTGATAATAATCAACATTCTAATTTCTTAATTAGTAATTTCGACGAAATTCTCCGGCATGAATGATACTATATTCGAATTATACCTGAAATCGTAGATCGAACCGTGCATCTTCCTCATGCACCTTAAATGACGGATAAGATTGTCCTTCCTACAGATCGAGCTCCCTTTCGGAATTCTGTTGATGAACTAGAATTTAAGGACGTACGTTTTTCAATAGCTAGTTTAAGATACGAGAATCAGACAACGTTATTATATTACCTGCCACGGAAGCAATAGCTTGTAATGGGGTAAAGGAAAACCCCCAGACCGCCACCATAAATTCCATCGATCTTTGAATACATTATTTTCGCCCGTGTACTCTCTCCAGCCGCGTTCTGTGCAAACCTGCGAGCAGAGTATGCGGATTCGCGTGTACCGACCATTTTACGAGTTTATTCACGGATTATAGCTCATCTGTCTAACAACGAGTGAATCGCGTTTCAACGCGTGACTCTTGAAGCGGACCGAACCGTGTTAGGGAAACAACTATAAACCCCGGAATATTACGCATAACCCGCGATTCGAAAACTTTTGTACGTAGGTACGTGCACGCGAAAATAGCAGGGAACGCCCTTGATTTATTTGTCGTGTTATTAGAGCATTAGGAGGGCCCGATACCGAAAGCGAGCCAAGGTCTCTAATTACAATTAAATTCGAGCATATCTCTTCCCGTTGTTACGGTAGCCTACTTTTAATATCCTTTTCTTAACTCAACTTCGACATCGATTCGCCGTGGAAGGTCATCGACCACGTTTACACTCTGTTCTTGAAACCTCAATAGTATTTCATTCCATCGTGATACCCCCGCCTCTTCATCCGAGGCGATTAGGATAGTCACTATCAGGAATTAGACTTCCTCATTTTATAATATTAGTAACTTGTTTTACATTAAACCTGACCCAGTGGAAGCGATTCGAAAATGTAATGATCGTTTCGTAGGAAACAACTTTTATCAACAAGTCAAGCGACGTTTCGCGGAAGTGAATTTCATTTCTTATTATCGCATGTCGCGGTTACTTAACGGCGTTTCTAAAAATGGTGCACGCAAAAGCGCGTCGCGTCTCGCGTTTGACTCTGACAGGTATGTACAGGTTTTTACTACATATACACTGTACTTATCTATGAATGTACCTTGAAAAGTATTCAGTTCAAGGTCGCGGCTAAGTTTGTAACCATGCCGAACAAATTCCGAGCGACATAAAAGCGTGACGCGATGTATTCAACATTTCACATTCGTTGTACTTTATAAATTCACCCACACGATCGCGCATCGCACGTTGAAACACGGTCGGCTCGATTAGAAAATCACATACTTATGTCGCTTTCTAAGTGATTAAATACCTGTACTAGGAGATGCGGTCCTGTACCACTATCGTTAAGCCTGAACACGAAAGGTCCGTCCAAATATTTCACTGCCATGCCGAAACATTATACTTTGATGGATCGCGCCAAGGAAACGATCATGTTTAGTAGCTCTATCACAGTAATTTTGCTTTTTTGTAAGAGAAAAGAAAAATAATCGTCAACCGGAGCCTTGTAACGAAATCAAGGATGACATGCCCGTTACAGGAAGCTTGTAGGAAATAAAAAAAATAGTTTATCCTACCTCGTAATTCTCATTCAGAAAAGAGTATTAGTATCATACTTCTTGCCGGTTCTCAGAGAAGCATCCTTGTCTATCGTCTTTTTTTATCCCAAAACGGTGTGGCTTAGCGGGAACGGTCGGTCGCTCCTGGAAGCGACATTTTTGTCGACGTCGAGCGCGTGGTGTTCTTCAAATATCTCGATGGGACCGCATGCAGGCAAGCCGGGGTCTTGATTCTCACTGGTGCACCGGCACGTTTCGATCTACGCAATCGCTTTGACCCGGTCGCAGGTGCGCAGGTTGCCCGTGTGCCGGGTTCCTCGCGGCTCTCCAGCTTTTATGGGCTTTCGGTGGACACCGCGACACCCCGAGGACACCGGAAGTCTCATGGGTCGCGAGCCACCGAAAGAATTTTGCTGATATCAGCTCGACTCGGTGATCGTTATCGCGGACACGCGACTTTCCGACGAACTTAACGATTTATACTAGAAATAGCGTGAACGTTGCCAGGTTTAAATTCAAACTTAAAAATTTGCTTCTCCTTTCTTTTATTTGTACAAGAAATTAGATCTATGCTTCTATATTTTATTTCTCATAATGTTTCTCGAGAAACGCTCAATGGCTATGTTGGTCGCGGTTTATTTCCGCGGTCGTATTAATAGCTCCGCGCGATCATCGAAGTCCGCGTCGATGACGTATTGGTTGCAAAGAGATCCGCCAGAAAAATGTCTCGCGTGTCTGGCTTCGCAGGCAGGAGGTACCGCAAGGTTACTTTACTGACAAATCGATGAGCCGTCCCTTAGAGCTACTTCCTCGTTAGAGACGAAATGGTTCACGATCGTGCCCTCACGTATCTTCAATTTCGTTTGGCACGCCGAACTCTTTTCCGACGATCAGTTTAACCGCAATTCGTCGACGTGGACAGTCTCGTTAATGCCTGAACGATGCTCTATTTTTCTGTTATCTTACAATTCTGTCCCGTGACTATCGTCACACGGCGAATCCTTGGACGGTTTTAAGACGGGGAGGAAAGAAATACTCGGATTAACGAATTACATGAACAGTTTATTTTTATTGTAAGCGACACGTAACACAGATACAGAGGCTCGTGCGATAATCAGCCAGCAATCGGTCTAATTAAAAATTAATTCTAATCGCATTGGTCTACAAACGTTGGCCGGCCGCTTAGTGGTGATCACACTGTTGGGTCCGACTGTTCAGCTTTCTCTCTTATTACCGCGAATGCGCTGCGTGTTCTTACACACTAAATTATACAATATACAGTTAAACATTCTTTTTTTTTTTCGATTCGCGAACTTTGCTACTAGTATTACACGAGCCCGCGATGATGGCACAGAAATCGGTAACCTCGTCTAAAATTACTTGACAACTGCTATCAAACCGCGAGTTACTCGGTTCTCGAAGCCAACTCTTTCTCCACTTTTCGCCCTTATATCTATAGACACTTTGAAAGCTAGGCAACCGATTTGAGTCCAAGGCGAAGCGTGTTCATGATCGTTTATTCAATTTTGCAGATAGTTCGTAAACGTTTGATCATGCCGAAATTAAATACCATATTCTCGGTCCCTGTACGATCGTTCGATTATGGAATCATTTGATTTCAGAGCGAAAAAGTCTCGTTGGATGATTTATGATAAAATCCGCATGCACGAAGATTTTAACTCGATCCTGTTACTGATTTTATTATACAGCTTGGCAGAAATACGTTTAATTTGTCAGAATAGAATCTTCTATCTATAATTTCTATAAACTTCTATAATTTCGTATGCAGCATGTTTTAATAAAATCATTCAACAAGGAGTTATTGCATGTTATTTCTCATTGACTCAGTCTGTACATAGAAATTTTTGAAGCTCGGGTTGTGAACAGCGATTTTTGAACGGGTTGTGCGTGTTCGGTTCAAGCTGAAAATTCTACAACCGTGAAGACACGATCAGGAAGTTTCTAATTTCTTGTTGAACTTCGTATCCGGCGTTAAACAACTGTTTAATCCGTTAATTGACTGCGGGGAAAGTTTCTAACTTTTGCTGGAAGTTCGCTCGATTTTTAATTAAAATACAAGCGGTCTCCTCATTGAATATATTTCGCCATTTATAATTTATACTCCATAAAGTCGGCCATCTGATCTTGGCTCTAGAGGTGGGGATCGAATCTCGGCATTTTCGTGTTAGGTGCACCTAGTATAATGCGAAATATGTGATAATGCCAGTAATACTAATTGCTTGGATGACCTTTGCGTGATCCGTGGCCAAGACCAGAAGCCGGTCGGCCTTTTGTTGTATCGTTGCAGAATTTTCTGCGGCAACGATTTCACAAGGTATTCGAGTCTCCGTGCCGTGAACGGAAACGAAAACCGATTTAACTTGGTCGCAGCCATTAAAATTTGAGGCTCGCAAAGCCAGAAGCAGCTTTGCGCGTCTCATCGATATTTTATGGCTGCTTAATCCGCCAATTAGTCGTGGAACGTCGAGACAAGCGAAACCCAACGAACTTTCCGAACGTAATTGGTCGTTTTAAGAACTTCTTCTTAAACTTCGCTCGTGCAAGCGAATCTCTAATCCGGAACGAACGAATTACGTGACTGCGTCTTGCTTTCATCAAACACGTTCTTTCTTAGACAAAAAGGTATGCGACGGATTGTACAAGTTAATCGAATTAAGAGGCCAATTCAAACAAAATGTTCTATTGCCGAATCAGAAATAGTTCCTTAGCTGGATTAGGTTTGGTTCGATACAATTCCTACATAGTCCCACATATGTATAAAAAGCTATAGAACAAAATATACACGTTAAACGGTCAATCGAAATGAAGAATTGTTGTGTTGGCGGATTAGGAATATTTCCTGGGGCGGATTAGGTTTGGCTCGATACCGAGTCGAAACTACTCGCCATGCGTTTCAGGTGAAGGTATCTCGAGAGCAATTGCTAGTATACAATTACTTAGATCAGGCATGTCCATGGGAGCGTTCCGAGAGCCCGTGACTATCGCGGTTGACAGTACACATGGCGAGTTGGCACGCACGCGTTTGCTTCGAAAGTCCCTTTGTAACTGCGACTTCGACGTCACGATTGAACGTAATGTCGTTTCAGTAGTAAACACACGATACGCGTCCACTCGCATTGAATGAGTTCATTCAAGGTTTACGTCGAAATACGCTAGTCTCCGGATATGTATGGCCACCGATCGGGACCGGATTTTGCGTCTATTCCGGATGTCAGAATCGCTCATCATTCGAGCATGCAGTATGGAAAGTGAACAGTAGACTGTGCGAGTGAGATGACAATAGAGAGACAACAACAGATACACGTGTTAGGCTAGTAGGCCTACTATTATCAGCTATTAACAGAAGGTGATCTCTTCGCTACATTATAACTCGCCGCTCCATGTTCGGCTCACTACCCTGCTCGGGAGCTAGGGAGAACGCTCCCACCCTCAAAATAACGGTTTGGATACTCCTGACTTCGATAATTACGTGGGCGCGGCTTGTAAGTAGTAAGTGTTATTGTAAGTGAGCACGATAGTCTCGGCGCGCTGCAATTCTAGAAATTATACTCTTTTTATCTTATTCTTTGCGACGTCGAGGGATTTTGCCCGTTTAAACAGACTCTTAAAAGGAGACAGGCTTTTAGAAAGAAGTTACGATTAAAAATCGATGGTACAATTAGTTCGCGTTCAATAGTCGTTCGTAAATAAATATATTCGCTGGTCGTCCTACAATTATTAACAGCGGCGTATATTAACGACACCTGTCATTGGGTTAGTTCGTCGTCGGCCGAAAAACATATACAAGAAGAACAAGAAATATTATATGTAGACCACGGATTTTTATGCAAAATAGAACATGTCTTCAGTTAAAGAGATGCATCTTATTATTCTTTTATCATTCAAATATTGCAACGCGTACTCAGCTTTTGATATTCCATATACATATTTTTATACATTGCGCGCAATCTCTGAATACATAAAATCCGCAGTCTGATTGTAGGATATGATTCGTGCAGGAGAAATTCGTGCTCTTTAAAGCTAATATACGCGTTTCTCTTCGCGATATTTTCTCGCTTTTCCTAGTTTCCGTTTGTTCGCAACCCTTCCCATATCATGCATTATCGTTAACGGCCACCAGCTTTAACGCGCATGATTTTTGCAGAACGGACGACCGCCCTTCGCGTAGAAACCCTGGCCTTCGAGATTCTTCTTACACATCTGGAACAAAGAATGAACTCTAAAATCCCTAAGTGCTTAATAACCGCTGTACGACTTAAAATCTCCAAAAAGGAAAGAATGGACGCGTTTGCATGGAATAGAGGAATCGATTTCGCTTGAACGAGAACGTGTTAATTGCGTACCGTGCAGTTGAAACACTGGCTGTGGTAATTGTTGTTCAGGGCCTCTACCCAACGATCGCCAGCTTCGACTGGGAATCCGCACGCATAACACTTTGTCGTGAATAGCTCGTTCCAATCTAGATGTCAAAGAAATTTCTTATATTCATCTTCGCTATTCTTTTATTAAAAAAGAAACGAGACTAACCAGCTTCACAATAGGGCAATCCTTCTTCGAGGAAGAACGGGCTGTTACCGAATAACTTGCCGCAGTAGGAACATTTGAAGCATTCAGGGTGGAAATGCTTTCCAATCGCGTTTAAGCAGTCCTGAAATTATCATGGTCGTTCACGGATCAATAGAAATTGTTTCGAAAAAGTTTTCTCTTCTTCAATACTTACGCCTTTGATTTTGTTTTGGCATTTGTTGCAACTTGGGGCGATGAACCGTTCGAAGCAGTACTCGCAGTAGAGTTGTCCCTTCTCTTCGACGAAACCGATGTCTTGCAGAGGTCGACGACATTGGGTGTTCACGCATACGAAATGATCGGGGCACCAGATCTGACCCAAAGCGGTAATGAACGGACCCCTAGATGATCGCGAGCGATTACTCTCCAAGCGGGTCGAGCGAAGTGGTTTTTGTACGCGAATGAACAAGCAAGACGTAGAGGCACAGCGGACAACAATTTTCTCATAAAATCAACTGTTTGCTTTTGTATTCTTTTTACGAACCTTGTGCAGTCTTTGTCGTTTTTACAGCACACCGGCTTTATGACGAGACCATTCGACTTGTGATTAGTATTTTCTTCGTTAGCTGTTAACATCGTGCAAACAAGTTAACATTGTTAATCACGTAAAAAAAAATAGAATTGGATTAAAATAAACAGTTGCTTTCAAATCGTGTAAATCGTCAGGCGATATTTTCTCTATCCACAATAAGCAATAACTTTTTACAACATTTCCTACTACATTGAAATAAAATGCTCGAACTCCTTGTCAACCTCACAAAGTTTTTGAATCGATCGATCCAAAAACGAAACGCACATTTAACTGGATATCACGTATTTAACACGAGGAGACAGTACAAAAAAAGCAAAAACTCGATCCTCATCGTTTGATGACGGAGAAAAGAGATAAAGGGGGGATGCGGCAAACACTGAAATTGAAAAGAAAAAATACAAGCAGCACACCGGTGATGAAAGGTGGTGTACCTGACGTAAGAGTTGCAATGGGCGCAGAGGGGCATTCGTGATCCCGGTCCGCTCGCCTGATTTAGTATCCCCCGTCCTCGTTTCGGCGCGGTGCTACCAGCGAATGTTCCGCTCTTGGACCCGAGGCCACCGACTCCGGTACCTAGATCCGGGTGGGATGACAAATTTGGTGGGTCTACTAAACTTTGGGTATTGTCAGAGGGGCCACAGTGAATACCGTCCTGACAGATATTCTGGGTTTGACATTGATTCCCGGTTGAGCAGCGGGTGTTCGGCGGGCATTGGTTGCCTGATTGGCAACGGGTTTGAGTGGAAGAATAGCTTTGGGTCTTACAGCTGTAGCTTTTGGTCTCACATTTGGTTTGGGTCTGGGGTTGAGCTTCGGGCTTGTACAATTGCACGGTGGGTAAGTTTTGCTGCTTGCCGGCAACTTTGGCAGTGAGTCGCGCGAGCTGTCCGCTCAAGTTAGTGCGAGGCTTGTGGATTGGCTCGAAGGAGCTTCGTTGAGGACAGGGGCAGGACGCGGGTGGTTCGTCCGGCAGTGGGATCTGAGGAAAAGGAAGCTTCGACTTTGAAGGTGGTAGTCCAGGTTTAGTGCAAGGCGCCACGCAAACGGATCCGTCGCCGCACGGCGAGACGCAGACTCCGGAGTCTGGGCAGTTGCCGGGGATACAGTCGAGCTCGCAGGCGGATTCGCGGCCGCAGCGTCCGGATGGCTGGCCGCAGCTTCCGCCTGGCATGTCGAAGCAGGGAGAGACGCACACTCCTGAACGGTCCGCGGTCGGGACTACACAGACGCCTGCCTTCTTGCAACAAGTGCACGGCCCTTGGCAGGGTACGACGACGACTCCTGCTTTGGTGCCTTGATCGGAGGTAGCTTTACATGGTAACACTGTTACACCCGTATCCGTACAGGGTCTAGATGGTGGAGTTCCGTAACTAACATGACGTACTTCCGTTGAGCTGCTGTAAACCGGCGTAGGTACAGGGCACGTGCATGGGTCCTTCGAAGCCAATGGGCAAGGAAGAGAGAGTTTACATGGACTTGTTCTACCAATGGCACAAACGCCTTTTGTTGTCTCTCCCCGTTCTGGTAAAGGACGAATCGGGACCCGTTTTTCGCATCTTTCAAAGTCTTCGTTAACTTCCAGTGTTCTCTTTGTAATCGACTTCTTCTCTTCGTTCGTTTCCTCGCTAGTCATACACCGTTTCTCTTGATATTGAGCATGAACCGCGTCCAACGGTTCTCGGCCCGCATCGTCCGTTCGCTTTTCGTCGACAGCCACTGTTTTGGTGGCAGCATACTCCGCGTGTCTGTGCCCCTCGTCGGTGTCCTCGTCCACTTTGTAGGAAACGCTCTTCTTCGTGGGGAAGTGGACGGAGCTCCGTTTAGGCGGTGCGTCGTCCCTGATCCTGGGTGCTTGAGCCTTCATGTGACAAGGAGAGGGCGACGGTGGACCACAAGCTGGTGACTTTGCTCTTCCTGGAGTCGGGGTCGGTGTCCTGCTTCCTGGTTCGTATGTGTGACTCTCGACCGCGCTCTTCTTCGTAGCCACGAGGTGTCTTTGGTAAAATGGTATAGTGTCGGGTTTCTTCAGAGTAGCAGTAATGCCTTTGCTAGTCATGGGAGTCTGGGGTCGCGATCTCACCGGAGACGTAGAAGATTCCCTTGTAGGGAAACGATAATCCGGAGGTGGAGTAGGCAAAGGTCGAGGACCGCAGGGCTTGGGAGGTGGTTCAGTGCAAGGTTTCACTTCGCCGAATAAAATATTAGATGGCGGAGGGTGCGGACCTCCTTCACCTCCGAGCATGGGTGTCGTTGAACGGCTTTCGATCTTCCGGTCGTCGGGACCGATCTCCCGACCGATAGGCGTGTAGGGCCTTTCCGGAGCGATCATGAGCGCCTCCTGAAACGGAGAAATCGGTCGGACCTTTTCCTTCGGCGAGGGTTTGGGTCGACACCTATGATCCAAGTATATAGTCTCCTCCGTATACAGTTCTTTCACGCTGGAGGACGTACTGAGCGGCGTGAAAGGCCGATCGGGCGCGGTCGTCAAGGCATTCACCATTTCAGACTTCCATTCCTTAGGAGTGGCGTTCTGAAGGGCAGAATGCGGTATAGGCTTTGGACCGGCGTCCGTTTGTTTCACGAACTGTACGCGCTTCTTATTCGTCTCCATGATCTCCGCAGCTGGCGGGTACTTGGAGCATACGCGTCGATCCTTTGGCGCTTGCTGGTCCCTCAAACTTTTATGGACTTGTACCTGTTCGCGCAGACTCTTCTTGCGCTCGTCGTCGATAGCCTTTCTTCGAACCCGTTCTTGAACCAGCACCTCTTCCGTGATCTCCTCGTAAGTCTCTTTTATGAGCTTCTTCCGCCCCGGGGTATCGCTTTCGGCTTCTGTCACTCGTTCCTCGCGGACAACTGTACGTCCCAGAGGTTGTTCCCGAACTTCCTCTACTTCCTCCACTTCCTCCTCCTCGAAAGTCACATTCCTGCTTTCTTCCTCTTCCTCTTGCCTTCTCCGTTCCTCTTCTTCTTGTCTCCTCCGTTCCTCTGCTTTCTGCCTTCTCTGCTCTTCTTCTTCTCTTCGTCTTCTCTCTGCTTCTTCCTGCTTTCTCTTTTCTTCTTCTTCCTCCTCTCGCTTTCTTTCCTCTTCATCTTGCTTAGCTTTCTCTACCATTTGCGTCACGTCCACGGCAGAAGTGACAACTTCAGCTGATTCGACGACAGTTTTCTCTTCCTTCTCTTCAACTTGTCTCTCAACGTGACTAGTGGTTTTCCGTGCGTAAGTCTCTTCGGTCTTCTCCACCGTCTCCTCCTTTACAATCTCCTCCTTCGATTCCTCTATCGCAGGAGTGCTGGGCCGTGCCGGCGACGGTGAAACAGTTTTCTCAAAAGTCGTTTTCTTTTTCACGTGCAGACCGTCAACGTCCTCTTCCGTGGTCTCCGTGATGAAGTCGTGCTCTCCCCGGATACCACCAGTATCCTCGTCGCCGATTTCGTCTGCTGGTCTCAGATCAGTCACCTCCTGGTCGATCTCCCTGATTTCTTCTTTCGCTTCCTCTTGTCTAACCGCGTGCTGAGTCGGCAACGGTGGCTTCTCGCAAATCGTCTGCTCGCGTCTGCACACCTCCGACTTGTACACGCGATGCTCCTCGCGGAAAGGTTGATTCCTTTCGCATATCCGCTCTCTCTGACAGATCTCCTTCGAATGAAACTTCTTGCACACCTTCGGTGGCTCGACACCAGCGTAGCTCTGCTCGTAAAGATTGCTGCCGGTAGAGACAGTGGCAGTCCACGGTTTCGGTATTGGTTGGGTGATTCTGGTGGGAGTCAACGATCTTCGGACGCTATCGGTCGAGCTGGGCCTCGAGGTCATTTCGGTTCTCGACTGCCTGCCGGTGGTCGTCTCCACCAGCTCGACCTTTCTATACGTGGGTCCCGGGCAACTGATCCGATCCATCGGGTTCTCGTCGAAGCGATTGCACTGCCTGGTGGCTCTTTCCACCTCGCGATCTGTGCTATCGCTTCTCTTTTTGCTGAGAGCTCTCTCGCAGGCTTCGATGCAGGCTTTCTTCTCTTTGACCGCTTGTCTGTCTCTTTTATCGAGGGTTGGATTCGGGTCGATGTACAGGGGACTAGCAGTGGGATAAGTGATCTCCTCGATGGGCTTTGGAGGTGGCCACGCGAGGCTTTTGGCTTTCACGGAACGACGCTGATACTCGTTTTTGGTGTTCTCAACGATCTCGCAATAGTAGGACTTTTCTTCGCGGGTTTCCGTCGAGCTTTCTGAGATTCGTATCCCACGAGAAAGTCTCAGGGGGATAAGGGATTGAATGCGTGGTTGGAAGCAGACCAAGTTGGATCACAAGGCACACGAAACATTGAACACGCGTTTGGTAACACAGGTATAGTAGGTTGGGGCGTGTTAGAAAGAGCGAAAAAAAAAACAAAGAAATCAGCTGTGAGTAAGAAGCACATTGACTGACGCGTGCCCGCGAACCTTTGTTTCTTAATCTGTAGGTATATCGTCAAAATTAATTATCAACGACATCATGAGTGAAATTTTCTCTTAGTTTAGTTTATATAAATTCAATAAGGGCATACAAATGCAAACTAATGTCATAATATTATAGTGACTGCAAACAAAGCTATTACGTGTTGTATATTCTAATGAATAAAAATTTGTGAAATTTCACTGATGATATTCTTATACTAAAGGGTTAAGTTTGTATCATAATGATTTAATTTTGAAAATTAATTAAGCCGGATCGCGGGCACGTTCAGGATGCAAAATAAAAAGAACCGCAACTTAAAAATGAAAAATGGCGAAGAGTGATAGCTCCGCGAATAAATTGGCCAACTGATTGTAAATTCAAGTAGAAAAAGACCGAAGCTTGCTTTAAGCATTTGCGAGTGAGCAGTCGCACTTCTCTGAAGTTACTCGTAGACTCCGTCGAGACGATTCACGTATCCTAAGATCCATCGCAATTTCCAGATGGACGATTGTTAAAAAAAAAGAGAAAAAAATCGTGGGACAGTTAACATCTCGACGACTCGAGCGCATCTCGAAAGCGTCGACGCGAATCTATTTATGTAGGACGGTATTGAGTTAATCAACGATAGTTTTCTTGAAGGAGGATCTTGAAGACGTGTGCGCGCGTATGTGACATGAATTGGATGAAGGAACAACATGTATATCGAGCGAAGAGCTTGCTCGGCTTAACTATCGTTTTATTTTGCAATTCCAGTAATTTCTCAACAACACTTCCATTCAACGAGAAACTCGTTCGTCGACAATAACAACATGGATTCGACTTCACGATCTATTCGATCTCGAAATTATGTTACAGTTGGCAAACAATTTTTGATTTAACGATATTGAATGAGAATGTTTAAAAGATGCAAATTGGGATATGTTTTCATTTGTATGTACAGTAGTATGAACGATAACGTTAAACCTTCATCGTGACTTTATTTACTCCTATTATTATATCATACATATTTGATTAAAATCTTGTCGTTAGTAATACCATCGAGGAGAGATTACTAATCTCTCCTCGGTGGTAATACCGTAAAACGTATACTTGTTCGATGGAAGACAATTTATTGACAACGGAGAATTGTACTATGCGATTTGATTCGAGATTAAAGAGTAATCGTGAACGTCGAATATGAATATGTGGTTATTTAATAAAATTTGATTGTTCGATTCAGCTGTCAGCACGAAGACGACGACGACGACGACGTAGCTGACAATAAGAGCTACCGACTCATGCGAATGTGAGGGAGAAGGGTCTAGGTTTCGGGTTGAAAGATGAACCGGCTGAAAAAAGATAAGAAAAGAAAAAATTATGCCCGGGAATGAGGAGGCGTGAATGGAAGTATGATTCCTAATCGTTGTGTATGAGCGTACGAAAAAAAAAAGAAAGCACGCACGGCTTGGATGTCGGCAAAGAAATAAAAAGAAAGAAAAACACGTATAGTACGCGGTTATTTTTATCGGAATGTCTTCATTGTTACGCAAGCGTTTCTCTATCGAAGCGGACTTGACTCATTTGTACGCTATTCAGGTCTCTATCCGATCGTCCCAGTTTCGTTTCGATCATCATCGTTGCTCCATATGTCCGCGATTAAAGTCCAACCGGAGAAATGTGTCACCCTGTTCGATGACATTTAAAATGATGACCGCGATCAAAGATGAAATGTTAATGCTCGCCGTTGATACGCCGCGGAAACGACGAGCGAATGAACTTCAAAGTACAACTTGATACAGAAAAAGAGAGTTCACTCGCTGGCAGGGACTTGATCTTTCAATGAAAGCTGCGTCTAGACCAACGAACGAGAACAAGGACCAACAAATGGAAATGAATGCTCGAGTTTCTTTGGAACAAGCCATTCAGCTTGTTCTTTTGCTTGGTTCAAAAGTTCGATCATCGAGGAATGTAATTCCTTCGCTTGATCTAAATGTCTGAACGAACGTAGAATAGAAAAGATGACTGCAGTGGATACGTAAGCGAGATTGAAACGTGTATTAGCCAAAGCTAGAGACTCGGCCGAAGGGCTTGCATACTGGTTGTCGTACCTCTGAAGGGTGTGTTTTTTGGCTTCGGTAGCCAATAGCCCGGAGAGGAGAGACCTATTCGTAACAATCGAAGACAGAAAGTGAGGCCAAGGATAACGAGCCGTTTATCAAAAGCCAGAGATCGTTCCTCCAGATTGCGGACGAGAAAGTCGGGCTTGTCATCGATAATTTATACGAGTTAAACGATTTCCGGTTTCGTTTCCTGACTAATGTTCCGTTCGTTTGACATGCCACTAGCGTGACCGTCGTAATAATCATCGGAATGCTTGCATCGCGTCGCGTCGTCGTGACGCGGAATCTCGTGCACGTAACGCTAAAGATCGTGCTTGTACAAACGAGGGGCTCGTTTCTTATCCTGTTGTATTTTTAACGAGTAACTATATTAATCGTTATGTAATCCGATTGTCGATTACGTAACGACAAGTTGCGAATGGAAGAACGATTTCGTACACGTCTGAACGTCTATACTTGCAGGAAACTAGTTTCCCTCCTCCGTTCCTTGTCGAATCTTGTCGCGATTATTAATTACACAAGTTTACGACTTACCGGTCACAGTTTGAGGCCGTGGTAGAGTGCTGTTGCCTGAGTTCGCTAACGGAGGCGACGACAGATTCGATGACAGGTTCGATCCTCCAAAAGGTTTAGGGCCGATTAGATTGTTCGACGTCGGAGCCTGTATATTGAAAATCACGTTTAATCATTCGTTGCTCTGGAGCTATGTTATAATGGTGTAATGTCACGATCGACGATGTTAAAAGTGGAGTAGTGGTACTTCGCATTCCAACAAATACAGAAAAAAAAGAAATGGATGTTGATTGATGTGAAATTAGTTAGGGTTTCGTGGCAAACGACATGACAAATGCAATGCGCGCAGCTACGTCTAATGAACTATCTAATGCGCGATGAGCCGGGGTGGTCGGGTCGATTAGTCTCTGAAACGAACGTAATTGATACTACTTCCGCTGCCTTGACACCACGAAAGTACATGACCTCTTACTAGAAGCAGAGAAGCATCGGTAGGACTACAATTTTCTCGCGCACTCTTCTCTGAAAGGTATCAAGATCGTTTATCATTAACGGGACACCGAAATATCATTCTTTCACACACTGTCGAATCACGGGAACAACTGATAGGTGATCACGAGTTTAAGCACAGTCTCTCTCCGGTGCATTCTCCATGCTCGAATCTCACACGGCAAGGGTTCCCAAGTTTCGTTTTTCTAAGAACGACGTACTTGTCTGGAGAACATATCTGGTGTACAAAGCAGCGGTCACCGCGAGTCAGCGGATGATTTTCATCGGTTCGATGAGAACGTACCTTACCGAGTGTAAGGTTTCGAGTGCGAGACGTTTAAGACGAGCCGCGTTGGGACATTACCTGGACTGATCGGAAACTGGGTGGTTCGACGGGCGAAGTGCCAAGGCGGGTGGGCTGCAATACATAAAACGAGAGAACGATGGTCACGTGGAAGTGGCAATTAAAAAAAGGGAGGGCGAGACACGCACGCTCCGAATCGCGCCAGGGTAATTAGTCACACGCGTCGAAATAATACTCGTCAACGCCTGTCAAACGTCAAGGATCGCTATTCTTGAGACTAATTAACAGGAAGTCCGCGAAGAAGGACACAGGTCACGCGGTTCTCTTTCTTCGTCAAACTTCTTCATTCTTTAGTAGTCTTTACTTTCTTTCTCATTTCGATCCGTATTCCTCTCTGAATCAGCGAGTATTTTAAAGCGAGTGTTTACTTTTAAATATAACTTCGAAGCTGAGATGTATCAGATTGGAAGCGTCACAGGGATCGATTAATTTTAGTAATTGACACATCGTCGTCCGTGTATGTGTATAGTTTGGTTAAGCGTAAGGGGATGTTAAGTGGATCGAAAACTCGCGAACCTCTGTGCAACCCGTTTGAATGGTGATCGTGCTTGTAAACGTTTTCGATTCCCAGTGGCAGTTGCCGTTGCCGATGAAGCCGTTTCTATTCGGAGGCGATTGCTGAGAATTCGGGAATCCGTAATCGGGACTCGTACGATTGTAAGCCTGGAAAAGCGATTAGTGCCAAGCAAAAGAAAACACACGCAAACGTGCCAAGTTTTAAATAATTATTTTTTATTTTATTCTCAATCGATCATTAGAATTAAGCATAGTCTAAGCGATCAGGCGATTAATTTTGCGTCCGGGTGCAAAATATTGAAATTATAAAATGAACGGGGAGAAATACTCACAGAGAATGGTAGAGGCGAAGACGCGTGATTGCTCAACGGTGGAGACAACGGTGCGTTCGCCAGTGCAGCGGAAATCGTGCTCGCCGGAGCCTTACCGCCTCTGGAACGTTTAATGAGCTCATTTAAATTCCGTGCACGCACTGCCGATCATTAATGTTACACCTGCTTCGCGTAAGAGAACACGGTTACCCTAAACAATCTTACTGACCATATGCAATTTTCAGTTAACTTTTTTTCACAAATTAATGTAACCGTTTGTTTAAGATTTGCATAATTTAATATCTCGTATCTCGTAATGAATCACAAAAGAATAATTAATTATTTCATAAGACTGTTCCTGTTGAGTCACTCTGTATGCAAATGTTTCAATACTTACGACGGTATAGTGATGGGTACCATGCCAGCTGGTGCATTTTGCCTGGCAACCAGTTTTGCATGAATATCGCAGTACAGTTTGTTGTTGATATTGTAATAGCCTACGTTCTTCAATGAAGTACCGCAGGTGGAGCACTTGAAACATTCTACGTGTAAGTTCTTCTCTTTGATCCTGACGAACACGCCCCTGCGATAGAGAACGATTATGTAAAAGATGTTATCTTTCTCGTTTGTCGAATAAATACAGAGTGCTTTGTTGTCGGATGTGCCACGAGTTTTTCATCTAAAGTATTCGGGAAAAAACGGGAGGGACTCGATACCTCGACGAGGGAGGCCGAGAACACGATATTTATTGTGTCTTCGTGTGAATGAATGTTTGCTTCTAATGATGTGCTAAGTCGAGTGAAGTAGGTCTTACACAAAATTTATGACACGTTTCCCTTACCGTGATCTTATAAAAATAGTTAACCACGAGTGTATTCATGAAAAAGTATCACTTAGTAAAAAAGGTGAACGTGTAAAAAAAGTGTTCACGAAAAACATAAAACCACAACATTGATAAAAAAACATGTTGCAAAAAAGAAGTACAACATCGAAAGCGTACTATAAGTCACAATACAAGATGATTCGACGGATAATAAAAAAAGAATGTCAAAAAAGATTACGCGCGTTGACGAGATGCGATGAAAGTCGAGGTATGACGGGCGGCATGAATCCAGCCAACTGTTTCCCATGATGAAAAGCAAGAGAAATTCTCGCAAAAATTGCGGACAATTTTTTTTACGGAGTGAGATGAAAATCTCTAATCAAGAGAGCGATATCAACGACAGAGGCGACAGCGATAGAGAGGAAAGATAGACAAAAGAGAGAGTTTTTGTGCGTCCACTAAAAAAATATAGGCGGCAAAAACGTGCAAACATCAAAGTAATTTAGAATACGTCGAACGAAAAATGCGAAAAACTCTCATTTCGTTGACAAGGAACAAAGCGTTTCGAATTGACATCAGCATACGACACTAAATCTCGCAAAATTGTTCCACCAGCCTTGTCACTTAAGGATCAGGCGTCGCGATTCATAAAATAACAAAATGCATAGCACACTGCAATATGAAATTAAACAAATTCGAGTTCATTTTTGGCTCGCAAAATAGATTCATTGTCGAAATCGCGAGCCTGATCCCAATCCACATACGTGACATTGCATTCTATGTTTAAAGACAATCGAATAGAAGCGACGTATCGTCGGAAAGCTAGAAATCGTTTCGGTCCGGAACTGGACCGGTGCAAAAGGGGTTGGAGTGGATTTTCACGTTGAATAGTTACACGATCACTCGGTCGCAGTTGCTACAACGGACGACAGACGACCCAGACGAGGAGGAGGAAGACTCCTGTCGTTGTATTCGATGGCTCGACAGGGTTGAATTGGAATTGAAGGCCGGCCCGACACCGTGGAGGGCATGAAATAGAGGCGTGGGCGATCTCGGCGAAGTGGCCCTTCCGCCAACGGCGTGGCTCACCGCCGAGTAAAACTCTGTTCTCGAAGGAACTACGACATGGAAGTAGAGAAGCCCAGCTCGTGACTCTAGTACGAGAAACTGTAATCGAGTAGCCAACTTCGAACTCGAACTGTCCTCTATGGGGACGTTCTCTATCGTTTCTCTTCACCGCGTTCAACAGTTTCCAAAGTCGCGCCAGATCTTGCTAATAACGTGCGCGCGTTTTACTCAATTCGGAACCGATTATGCAGGTTTCTATTGAGAAATTAATTTCTACAGTAATTTGAAACGGTTGAGGAGAGATAGTCTCGTTGGACGTTGGAAATCGGAACGCGATGATCGTGCCGCTCTCTTCTTCGTCGAAAGGAAATATTAAAATCGTGTCCTATTTTCCATTCCCGTGTGTCCCCGATCTGAAAGAAAGAAATTGGGAACCCGAAATGGCGTCTCGGCGGTGAACTTACACGATGAGCCTCTCGCATTCGGCACAAATGTTCTGTCCAGGCGGCAGACTAGATTGCGGCGTCGAAGGTTGCTGCGGCTTCGTTTCCGGTGCCGAAACTGGCCTCAGTCCTGCCAGGGCCGGCGAAGACGGCGTGATCACGCCGCTCTGCGCAGTTGGCTCCGCTATTTCGCAAAGAAGTTATCGAACCGGCGTGCACCAGGCTGACCGGAGCCAGACTGATCTAATTGAAAAATCAGTGGAGAGCGATCTTGTTCCTTTTTGACCCAGTTTATCGTCACGCTTTTTTGAGCAGTTCCACGCTACCAACTTGATTACCGTTCATTCGTTTAACGACTCTCCAGAGATTTTTTATTTAAGTTTTGCGCGAGAATTTTAATTATCGGATTGTTCGGAAAATCTGAGTTATTTTATTTAAACATTGAAGGAAGAGAATCAGCGATTTTTACTTCCAATCAATCCAATATTATCAGTAGACTGCGATTTCACATTTCTCGTATTTTATATAGTTGTATGCATCACATGCTTTTGTATTTTCTGCACATGTAATTTCTCTATAAATGCGTAAAATTCGCAGTCTAATTGTCAAACTAATATTAACTGGAAGCAACTGATAAAAGACTTTCAATAACTCGATCTATTAAGTATTTACACGGTTACTAACCAGGCTCCGGTGTCTTTGGTTCCTTATCCGCTTCTTGTACCATTTTGAATACTTCGCTGTTCTCGGCGTTGTAATTCTTCTCGTTCTTCTTGAAGTTCACCCTGCGAACAACCGATGCTGTCATTTCAAACGAAAATTACTGTATCGCAATTTAACTCGGTGTGAATGATGTTAGATGTACCCAATTACGAGATTTTTACACGTTTATAGGAAAATCGAATGTGTACAAATTATAAACGCTGCGTCCAACATACAAAATTATTACAAATATTAAAAATTTAAATGACGAAAGAAATGCTTATCTAGAAAACATTATCTAAATTGATACCATAAATGTTTCGTTCTGCGTACAAATCCGCAATCTACTGATCATTAATTTTAAATGATATTAAATATTCTAGCTTCCAAAACTTCTTAAAATTTGAATTACTATAGTTTATAACTCGTTGACTAATTTACATTCCGAATGATACCCAAAAGTACCTCAGTTTATAGCGTAACACTTTTGTCTTCATTCACACCGGGTTAACATTGAACAAGATCTCATTACCCGAGTACACCGCCGGCTAGAACCTCCGCTTGGGCGGAGAGTGTTTCCGCGATCGTTTCCTCGCTGTAGATGCCCACAGGGCTGTTGTACTGTTTGTTAACGATCGACTTTATCGAACCGTCTCCCGTTCCATTTAGCTAGAGAAACAAGCATACGCATTTGGTAGAAAAGATTTTGCGAGCCAAAAATACGAAACCCCTGTTTAAGAGTTTGTTTAATTGACACTAACGAATGGTTTGGGACTGAAGTTGTGACCGCTTCCGATAAGCGGTCCATCTTGTTTCTTAGCCGCCAGGGACGTCTTCGTGACTGGAGTGATATTGGTGAGACCTGCGGTGGGCGACGGCGACGGCAGGGTCGGGCTTATCGGCGACACGTGCGGTTTCCAGGTACCGCCACCCCTACGAACACGCCAGTAATTAAGTAAATTTAGCTAAGCCTAAGCTGTTGGTTATTGCTCAAGTATCTCTAAAGTCACGGTCGTGCCTGTCACTACCTTTGTATGGTCATCTCGAAATTGCTTCCAGCCCTTACGATAACGTCCTGCGCGTCTTTGTGCCTCAGATTGTACACCTCTGTGTTGTTCACCCTGATAACCGCGTCGCCGGCCTTCAGACCAGCTGCTTCTGCCGGTGACCCGCTGTTAACCTGCGTCAAACGACGTTGCATTAATTATGCTGATTAAAACTTGCATAAAAAGAAAAGAATTTGCGTAAAAATCCGTAATGTTAAGGATGTATTGGCTATACATTCAATCCCAAGAGTTTATGTACCTTAGAAAAACGCATTTCCTATAATTAAAAAGAAATTAGACATCGGAAGAATAATGCTAATAATAAATAGCTACGTGCTAAAAAGTATAGAAGGAAATATCCAATTAACTATTGACGCTGGCGGAAAGCATTTTATACAGAAATTATAAGCCCTGACGTCCTCAACAAGAAAGATTCTATGAATTTTTCTTCTAACTCGAGTATTTAACAAGTTACATATGATTATTTGGCATTTTATTGATGTTGACAAAATCCGACCATCCCAGCGTCGAAACGGCGATCTTTTGGTTAAATATTTCGTTTTCCCTCAATAACTCCTAAACTGTAGGTCCTACAGGAAAATTGCATAGGACCATTCTGGTAGAGGACGACGAGATCTACANGTGCATAAACTTTTGGGATTGACTGTATAGCCAATACATTCTTCAGATAAGCCCATTTTTCTCGTTAAACTTTCATACAGCCGATTAATATTTTTTCAATATCTATCTATTTAGTCTATCTATTACTATCTAATGTAATGTAATAGAATATATAATATTAATACAACAAAAAAAAGAGTGAATGTATAGATTCAGAATTTCCCTTGGCAACTAACGCTGTTTTCTAATCAGCATATGAATCACTCTAAAAATGGTCGAGTTCTCCAATCGAATCATCCATATGCATCTATTTTTATGATGTATCCTACATACATACAAAGAGACTTTTTCTCTTCATCTCGAGATTTTCAGACCCACTATATTTAAGTACACGCGCTTGTGATCGTTACACCTCGAATGTCGCATACTGTGCGTCCATTCACGCGGGTACATTCGAAAAAAGAAGGCAAGGCCTCGTCGACAACACGAGCAGAGATGTCGAAGAAGTGGATGGAGCAACCTTACCGATGTCTAACGCTGTCAATCTTTTTTCTCTCGTCATGGACCTTCTTTAAATACATTTCCTTGTTACAGACTCGGCTCGAGGCTTAAATCCATAATTAAAGACGACTGCTCGTCAACGTGGTTCAAATTTGTAAAAACGAGTCGCGCATACCACCGATAGGCGCTATTCATTGGAATGGTAAACGAAGGTTATTTCATTTTTTGATCCCTGTTCCGATCTCTTGAAAATCCCACCCGCTGCTTTGTTCTCGCGAGTCATTAATCGTGCTCCGAGATTAAAACGGACCCTGATTATCGTCCATTCGCGTTCGCGAATCTGTTTATATCTACACAGTATGTATTACACGTAATATGCAAGTACACGTCGGTTCATAAATCTCAGGACACATTATAAAAGGTACATTCAAATGAGACGATGAGAGTGTATAAATGAACAATGCAGAATTTGTGATATCTGTTTTAGGACATTGTACACACGTAGTCATGCTCATCTTTCATTGAAATCACTATATGAAAATTGTATATACTTTCTCATTTCAAATTCAATTTTATTGAAGCCATTCATGATTTATTGTACAATTTATTGTAAGATTTAGTATAATCTTTCAATTGAGATAATCTTCGATGGTTTTCAATATTTGACAGACTTTTTGATGGACAATAAGCAAAACGTCGTAAGACTTCTGGTAGGAGGTATACTGGAATGGAGACTCGTACGGAGTTCTTTCGAGAGACTCCAATCGCGACACTGCCAATCGTCGTTATTTATGTACCGCGGTACTTTATCTTTCCTCGCCTTATTCAACCGTGGAACAGACGCCCGGCAATTAAGGAAATGAATTGGCTCGCGTGATCAATGAGTCGGTTTAAATCATCATAATTTATCGCGTTACACCTAGCGTGCAACTCTTTTGACCGCGCGATTTTCCTATCGAGTTAATTACGCTATTAATATATTTGGTAACCGCGGCTGGTAGCAGGCAAGTAAGTATAAGGTAACGCGGATGATGCGTGTGCCTCGATTCGGCTCGTTGATCTCGTCCATTGAACGAGCTGCTCCAGAGGCACCCCTCGCGCGGTGATTAAGAGTAATCGGTGCCCTCGCTTCGAAGAGAACGATACGAGAGCTCATTAAAAACCTCCCACAGGCACCGCTCCGTCTCGTACTCTCATTTTTCCCTTAGCTGTTACCGCGGAAACAAGAATAATTAATAGACCCAACGATCCCGATCGCCTCTGTTCCTTCTACAAACGCAACGCGATTTATCATCGCTGTTTTTCTCGCCAGAGCCTCCTTCTTTGTACCCCCGCGTTCCTACAGGGAAAACGGAATGTGGGTCGCTATAAAATATGCGACGGGACATTTTTACACGGCGATTAGGCGGTCTCCCTTTCTAGAGGAGCTCGCGTCACGAAGACGAAATCAGGGCAGAGGGTGAGTCGTTCGATTCGCGCGTCTGCCTCCAGAAATAGGAACGCGGAATTGCGTCATCGTTGCTGCCGTAACAGTTGGATATACATTTTGCCGTGCATGTTATTACCAACAGTGGCAACGGCAGCTCGTGCATTTAGACGAAACGAACAACGGAGTTCGGCCTAAACGGCAGTCTTGTAATTGAAATCCGTGCAGTTTAGATCTTTAAACGTATGTGAGCATCCTTTGATTTGCCCGTTGGCTTAGTCTTCCCAGTTTGCATTCGCTGTACGACTATTCATGAATCTGTAGCGTTAAGTATTCGGTATCAAGTACCAAGTGAATAAGAATTGCTCATTTGTGCTAAAATATCAAAACAGGAGTATCTGCTTGCTGCTCTCAATCCTAGGGTGTGAATTAGGAGATGATTTAACTGTCAAGGAACTGGCTGCACTTCCTTCCGTCCGTAGGTCCACGGCGACGTAGGACGACGTGGACTTAAAGTCAGGGTTAAGTTCGGTAGGCACTGTGAAAGCTTGGCTCTAAAAATAGAGCCGGACCGGTTTAAAAATAGGCCTCGTACGCTCACGTACCTCAGGGCAAGCCAAACCGAGAAGTCAGAGTGCACCGAGGTGCCGCATAGTCTTATACGTATGACATATTGGAGCTAACTACATGCACGCATCCGGGCCCGCGTATTCATTCTAGTCGGAGACTCCTCGTGCGGCACCGCGTGAACTGCGATGAATGAACCGGGAGTACGCGTGTTCTCCCTGAGCGCAGCGCGAAGGTACCAACACCAAACGAGCCGAGCCACCGCACGCCACGGTTAATAATAGCGTCTGACAATTTTGGATAAAGTATATACATGCTTTGCTCGTCTCGTGCCCTAACAGCCTGCGTTCATTTTGTAATTAATTCGCCGCAGGGGCGTTCTCGACGACGCGTCTTTTCGTATCACGCGTAGGCGTTGAAAATGCCAACGTGCTAACGCCTTTTAATCCCGGGCTCGTTGAAAATACTACGTTTATTTTTCTTCGAATAGAAAGTGGAACTCGAGGAACCGTTAACGTGGCGTATGTACTATGAGTCAAATCGATTCATCTTGGATGACTGTGCGCGCTGACGTTTGTATTTGAGCATCTGGACAATCAATGGTATTGGAAGACAGCACTGACGTGGATATTATCCAATAACTGTTAATTCTAACACAATAATTAGTCCGACAATTGTTGCAAAGCGTCCCCGCGAGTGCACTTGCGTATGATGCATACAGAGAATTCGCGAGAACATTCATGACATTAGTGGCTACCGGGTTGAATGCATTATTAATAACGACGTTCCTAAAAATACACATCCGAAATATGTGTGACGGTGCGCGATGCAGATGCACTTGAATGCAGCCGAACCGGGATGGGAGGGAGAGTACTCCCAAGGTGTACGAGGTATGCATTCCAATGGGCGGGTTATCAGAGACGGATCCATCCCACCTTCCACGGCTGGAATGCATTCCTGTTCGTTTCTTTTCTCCCTTTTCATTTTTTATTTTCTCTGGACTTAAGTCTCGTTCATACGTGGCTGCCGGTATCGAAAAAGCGGTGAACCAGTGAGTCTCGGTCAGTGACACCGGTTTTAATCGGACCGAACGAAAGGGAACGCGCTCGATGGAAATAAGTCACGATACTTTTGCCGTCCCTCGTCTCGTTCCTGTTTCGCCATTAACACCGCATCGTTAAGAGTTTCCACGCGACCAATTAATACGTACTACCGATTAATCCTTCGCGAAACGAGGGACTGTTAAATTTAGAGGAGAACTTTGTTTAGCCGAACTGTGCTTTCAACGCGCGCAATTAGCGTCCTGCACATTGGCGCTTGGAAACTTTTTACCAAGGGCAGTGGTCGTGAATCAAGCCCAAGAGGGCTGTTACTTCGTTAATACGCGAGCATGGAATTTCGAAGAGGTTCTTCTTTGGAAATAATCTCCAATATGGAGAATTACCACCTTTTACTTTCCCGTCAGCCTGCTTCACCGATCGCTTATAAACACAAACGTGACGCTGTTAAACCATAAACTTATTTACCGCATTCGCGAATACTCGCGGCCACTCTAATTATATATTCGCGAAGAAGCGAAGCCGACGGTAGCTACTGTTGTCCTAAGGTAGAGCAGAAGAAATAGACAATGACGTCAGGTCGAAATTATTGCACTACGTTCGACCTGGCCTTATCTTTTTAAACAAATTACTTACACGGTGCGCAATATGTGACAATATGTCTGACAATAAGATACGTGTCGGCACGTATCCGAACCGTAAAACTCCTTCTACAGGAGCATGAATACTTATCACAGCCTTGTTTCTGTATTCTTACAAGTTTTTCTCAATGAAACACAATTGAAGAATATTTAAAATATATATGAACCTTTTTTTATTAGTAGATTGCAAACTTTTATGCAAAGTTTTCATCAGTTAACAAAATTTCTTGTATCATTTATGCATTGCAACAAGCATTTCTGATACGTATACATAATTTTCATTTTCTGTACATTAAACTTTCTTATAAATCCATGACATC